TCCCTGCTATAGACATGCCCTTAGAGCTGGGGTCTGCTTGGTTAAATACCTAAGGTCTGTTTCTAATGAGATCTGCAGCTGCGTTGATGAGAATGGAGGTCTTCAGAGATGATCTGGAGGGGCCTCCTGGTCAGGACCTTCATAAAGGGGACAACAGTTTTGAAAACAGACTGGCAAGAGGAGCAAGGAGGGGAAGACTCGAGAGCCCGGCCAGACTTGGAAAATTCCACGGAGCCGAATGACACTTCCTGCTGTGTGTCTGCCAACAGGGGCCTGGCCATGAATATTTTGTGCTGTGTCTAGCAAGCATTTCACTTCATTTTCACCAGTCCTCCTGGGGCCAAAGCAACAAAACAACAAATTCGAGCCCTGCATTTCTCAAAAAGGCTCCTCTGCACGTTGCGTCCCAAGCAGCGACCCTTCTTGGAAACAGAGGCATCAAATCCCACATGCATCAGAGACACTCGGTCTTAAATTTCTGCCGCAGGGCTTTTTGCACGTTCTGGATTTTCTCCGTGATGACCGTGTCGCTCAGGTGATCCCCAAACTTTTGCTTGAGCAGAACCCGAATGATTTTGATGCATCGCTCATCCATCATGGGCTTGGCCTCGCGAAAGGTGTTGCCTCTCCGCCCGGTGATGGAGTGGCTCTGGATGTAGTCGGACGTGAAGAGCTTGTAGAGCAGGGTTTTGCAGGCGGTGCTGATTTTCTGGTCGAAGCGGATGGCTTCTTTGAGCTGCTCCTTTGTGTAGCCATTAAACAGCTCCACCACCTCGCAGGGCTGCCGGTGGGGCTCTTCCTGGAAGGAGAGCGATTCCAGCCGCTGCACTTTCCGTTTCAGGGACAGGACCTCTTGCTGCAGGTCCAAGACGATCCTCTCCAGTTGCTCAATCTTTTGTACCCTGCAAAAAAAAAGATCAAGCATGCACGCATGAATCCGAGTCGCAGGCCACCCTTCGCCTTGTAACCAGTGAGGCTTGGTGTGTCATGACTCAGATAACAGCTTTTCTCCCAAATACCTGCACCCTCTATGGCTGGAAAAGCAGGCTAGGAATGGCTGTTTCTCTCCCAATGCCCCCCTGCATTCAGCTATAGCGGACTTGGATATAAGGGACTTATTTTAACCAGAACAGAGCCAAACATTTCTGACTGTCCAAAATATTTGGGAGCTTGGTCCAGCTTGTTTGTTTTGTTTTGTTTTAACTTAGACTCCCAGGTTAAGTCATGAAAGTTTGCCTGGATGAGGATTTTCACCTTTGGCTTTATTTTAAAGTTTAGAGGAGGGTGTCAGTCTGTCCTGGTCTTGTCTCTACTTTCCCAGAGTCCTGGGGCAGCTTGGTAGAGTCAGAAACAAAACTCGTAGAGAGAGACACGCAAGCAATGGCAGTGCAGGAGGCATAGTGCAAAGAGGGATTTGTTTCTGGGGAATCAAATTGTCTAGAGACTCAGGACCCAGATCCTACATTTCTCATGCAAGGCGGTGGCAATGACAAAAGTGAACGCAAACTGTCAGTTGTCCATCAAAGGTAAATGATGGAGGTGTATGCTGAAAAGTGATATGATTTTTCAGTGTTTGGGATCTCTGCTGCCTGATACTAGTACTTAAACCCAAAAGCCTGAAGGAAGCTGTAACCAGAGTCTACCCATGTTAGGGGTTGATACCTCTTGGGTCTAAAAAAATGACCGTGCATTGTCAGGCAGCTGTTATCTAAACCCAGTTATTTCCTGGGGTATTGAGGGAAATGCAGGTTGGTGCAGGCACCTGTGCCTCCATCTTCCAATAATTACCTTTCCATTGCACTGGAGCCAACATTTTGCTGAACAACCTCAAAATCCTCTGTCTCCTGAGATGCTTCCATCTTTGGTTCATCACAGCTGAATTAAAAAAAAAACACACAGCACAATAAATAATGGAGCAAGATGCTTCAGATGTATTTCCTAGGTATTAAACCAGCCAGCTCCACTGTCATTAAATCAAGTGTTAGCTTGATTTAGAGGAAAATGTGATAGCGCCCGGTGTTAAAAGACAACCATTTTAGACACCTGTTGCAGGTCTCGGTAGCTGGCATGGAAAAGACTAGCCATTTTAATACATGGTAAATATTGTATACTTGATTTCCAGTTATCTTACCCATGTGAAGTCTCCTATGACACCAGGGCAAACCTAAATACTACCATCTCTGACCTGACGTTGATATAAACTGCGACTGCATTGACTGGCAAGGCAGTGGAAATCCAGGCCCTTGCTATAGTTTCAGCGGATTTATCCTGAGGTCAAATTCTGGGTCTCTGTGGGCACAGAAAAAGCTGCACTGATTTCTGCCTTGTCCTTCTCAAAGCCTTCTGGGCAGAAATGCAGAGCCCTCCGCAACTCCTCCAGACCCTCAGGGGACTTCTCTTTATCTGCTAGACCTTGAGAAGCAGGACAAACCAGCTCGTATGGCATCAGGGAACAAAAACACGGCTCTGCAAGCATGCACAGGGCGCGATGAGATATGCTTTGAAAACCATGCATCGTCCTAATTGCTCCGGAGCATATTACCTGTTTGCACAGAGAAGTTGCTGGCATTGAGCTAGAATACCATCTGACTTCCTCTTCACTGCCAGGGTGACATAATCTAGAAACAGGATTGGAGTATGAGGCAAAAAAAAGAGAGAGATGTTGCATTTGTTATCACCTGGATCCCTCGGTCTCCAGGACCGGTTCATCTAAACAGTTCTGCTTGATATCAAGGAGTAGCCTGACACCAAATGATCACCCACGTGCGACTCAGGCCTCTTATTTATACCTTGTAGAGAATTTGAGAAAACCCTTGTCCTACAACACCTATTTATATTTCAACCACAATCTCCATAGCAGGGTTCTTGTGCCATCAGCTAGGGCAGAGAGAGGTGGATGACAAAGAGACAAGCGTCTAGGGACACTAGTGTAGTAATTGCTATGGATGGAAACACATAGACAGGGTGATACGTGCATGGTGTATCTGTGGGTTAGTGGATGAATGGATACATGGGCAAGATGGGCAAAACTGGAAAGGATCAGAAACACAGATCACCATTCTTCCCAAGGCATGATAATTAATTAAGCAAGGAGAGCTCTTCACTGGCTTATGTGGAAAGAATTATTAACACGTAAGAAAAGTTTCGGGGTTTTTACTGGGCTCAGTATGACCTGAACAACCCTCTGCCATGCAAGGGGTCACCTTTTAAATCAAATGAGAAATGCTAAGGATAGAAGGGAGGCAAGGTGACCCCTTGCATGGTAGAGGGTTGTTCAGGTCATACTGAGCCCAGTAAAAACCCCAAAACTTGGTACTAGTGAATAATGCAGTGTGCCTCGCACCTTGAGATGTCTCACCCCCAAGGGGGGCACACTGCATTATTCACTAGTACGAGCATTAACACTGGAGCAAGAATTGGAGCAAATTGATGAATGCCCTCCTTGCACAGCCTGTAATCCCAGCTGCTTTACTTCTGGTCGCTGTGGTGGGCCTTGCTTCTTCATTTTGGGATGTCCCAGGCTCAGCCAGGCTGACAAATGGAGATGCTGGGCTGAAGGCACTTGAACCATGGCGAGGCACTGACACTGCGCAGTGGGGCCCAGGGTTGCTGCCAAGGCTGGATCTCTCCTTCATGAGCGAGGAGGCTGCCTCCTCGTGCCGGACGCCCGCATCATCAGCCCCGAGTGACGGCTTGGTGTGGAAAGCCCTGTTGCCAGCATACTTCCTCAAGGGGCTTCCTGGGGTCCACTTGGGAAAAGTCTTCCTTGATTTCTTAAGGGAAGGAGACAGCACATGGTGCATGGCGGGCTCTTCCTCTGAAAGCATTTAAGATGGCATACAGTTAAACAGCATGCACACCACATCCAGACTCCCACTGCCCACAACCATGTCCTCAGCCCTGACCACGTGCACACAGCAGTAGGAGTCACAAGGGGCTAACGAGGGTGCATTTATATCCCATCTCTTTTAAGGCCACTGTGGGTACAAGGTTACCAAGTGCAATTGGTTTCCTAGAACCAAAACGCCCTTTTTTTTGTCCTATCTCCCTGCTCCAGTGCAAAGCTGTACTTACTTAACTTCTCCAGGAGCTGTCTATCTTCCTGCAGCCTCTTCTCTAAAATATCCTTCTGCTCTGTAGGGAAAAGGAGGGATTTGGGGTTGTTTTGGTTTTTTTTAATGTTCCTCCGGATGCTCCCAAACAGCCCAGAGGAGCAAGCCGAGGAAGGAATGAGGCTCACTTACCACTGATGCCTTCCACGACCCCCCAGTACAAACCACTGAAGCCAGGGCAGCGGGCCAGCACCTGCTCCCCGACGGCGTAGAGGTGGAACGGCTTCCGGGGCTCCTTGATGTTCTCGATGTTGATCACGCGGCTGCCGTCCGGCCAGCTGATCAGGACATACAGCCTTGCAGCCATGGGGGCCAGCCCCACCTGGAGAGGAGATGAGCAACACAAAATCCTGCTATGCCAGTTCCCCCTGGCTGGCATGTTATTCCTCCATCCTTTCCCCCTTCATTACTAGGGATACACTCCAGGCCCCTGGATCCTGGGAACAATTTGTGATCAAATGCCTAATTACACAAGCCGGGTCATCGCACCGGACACATAATCCTTGCAAAATCTCGGCCGTCCTCAGCTGCAAATAGTTTGCTCTGCATTTGCGAGGACTGCGAGGTTTCTAAGTGACTTACAGTTATATGAGGATGCAGTTTCGACCCCCGACTAAATCAGGGCGCTCACCAGCAGCTTAGGAGTGGCTGAGACCAGTTCATTATAAGAGGCGAAATCAGATATCAGGTTGTGAGTTAAAGTCTGGTTCTGGGGTAAAAATAAAGCTACGGTCAAGAATGGATTGGGAATAATCAGGAAGTCACGTGCTAGTGCTACAGCAGTGAATGCTACAGAAATGGTTAGAATTAGGAAAAATAACCTGTTTGAGGAGTTTATAATCTCTCTCTTGTTCCCAGCATCTGAGGAATGGGGGTGTCCTGCTTGGGTACTGCAATGAGTGTTTGAAAACCACAGTTCTTGCATGGGAGAACTAAGGGGGGGGGGGGGGGCCTTACAATTAACTCTTTCAACCCCACATGTGCAGTCAAGTGACCCACTTTTGTGCCCGGATCTGCCTGCTCACTGCTTGCTGGTCACTGCAGTCGAACGGGTGGCAATATCACCAGGTGGTAGCTCAGCATGAGTGCCCAGCCCTCCTCCCTAGCGCTCTGCGTGCTTTCGATCCAGCTAGCTTCACTGACATTTCCCTTTCCCACAAGACTGAAGCACAGTGAGGCACAGAGAGCCCCTTTCTGAGTACTGATGCTAACCAGGGTGGATGGGGGGATACAAGCCAGCAGGTTGGCTTGCTGTGTGACCTTGAGCAAGTCACTTCCTTTCTCTGGGCCTCAGCATTCTCCTCCTGTAAAATGGGAATAATGGAGCTGGCAGCCTTTGTCATGGGATCTAGAAAGGAGGAGCATGACGGAAGAGGTAAGAGTGAGTCCTGGACTGGAATATTCGAGCATGTTGCAGCGTGGCTTTCTACTGGGCAGATGAAAGCAAAGCTTGCAGGTCCAAAGCACCTTTTTTTAGGTGTGCACATTGTCATCAATACCTGCCAAAGCAATCCCACTCAGCTTCTCTCTGCCGTGGTGCTAGGTGCTTATTAATTAAGCTTTAACCACATGGACAGGAAAGCCAAAGGGAAAAAAATCACACCTGCATTGTACAGAGGTGGCTATGAAACACGCCATGGGTAAGTAACTTGACCAAGGTCAAGTTACCGAGTCTGTGGCGGAGGAACGGACTGACTGCAGATCTCCTGAGCTGCAGCCCTGTGCCTTAATGACAAGAGTCTCCATCCTCTTCCACCCCCTCTTATTAGCAATACAAAGAGCTTTTCATTGTTTGGGAAACAATTGTTTCAGTGCCTGGCAGTCTGGCTTGGCTTTTCCCTGCAAGATAATGATCAAGGGGGAATAGCCACAAGCAAGCAGCAAGCAAGGGTGAGCTGGGAGGCCATGCACAGACAGAGGCACCCGGGCTGCCCAGAGGGTCAGCTCGAGATGAGTGACCCACAGCCATGCCCGGGTACGGGATCCCAGAACAACCTGGGAAATGAATCTAAGGCTGCCAACCAGCAGGCGGGTTTTGAAGAGACATGGGCAGCCAGTTGCCGGTCCAAAAATAAGCGAAGACTTAATATCCTACCTTGGTAGACATGGGTTTGGGAGCACAGGTCAGACCTCACACAGTCCAAACCAATTGCTCTCCTCTGGCTTCGTGATGCCCAAAATAAAGGCTTGGTGTTTCCTGCACCATCCACATTTTGAGTCCATTAACCCCGGGCTCTGAGCCCTACGCAGAAAACTTTCTTGTTCTTCCCTTCTGCCGTCCTTCGCCCCAGCCTCAAAATGAGCTTTGCAAGAATTTTGCAAATTCTTTTGCCAAAAAAGAATAAAAAGGCAAGTAACTTTCACCAACCTTGCAAGCTCGGTGTAAAACAGTCATTCACCTGCCTATTTAAGACTGTCCTGGGATTTATCCTACTTCCAAGTTCACCAGGACACCCCAAGGAAAGACAAGGTCTAACAGTCACAAACTGCTGGAAGACCATTTTAGACTGGACAGAAGGAAAAACTTCTTTACTGTCCAAGTCTCCAGAGTCTGGAATAGGCTTCCCCCAGAAGCGGTGCAAGCACCTACTCTGGATCCCTTTAAGAAAAGCATGGATGCATTTCTTGCTGAGCTGATCTGACCCCCACTGACTTCCAGCCCCTGGGGCGGGGGGCTGGACCCGATGATCTTGCAACATCCCTTCCCGCCTGAATGTCTATGAAATCTATGCCATGCCGCTCACTGCTTTATCATCTATCAATGGGCTTGCCCCTGAAACACAGGCGGCTAATAACCATCCCATCTAAATGCACAGGGACTGCAAATAATCCTGGTCTCGAGACCAAGAGAGCGGGCTGAGATAAATGCACAGCTGGCGTTTGTGTCCAAAAGCTTGCAAAGAACAATTTTCCCAACTGTTCAGTTGGTGTAATAAAAAAGATCGCATCTAGCCAGAGAACCAGCTCAGATTTTACCTTCCTTAACTGCCCGGCCAGGTTTATAGCCCTGTTTCAAAGCAGTTAGCGAACCGAGCTGCAAACACAATTCAAGCCTAAAGAGGAACTCTTTGAATCACTTCCCATTTTTTTTTTTTTTGGTGTGTGTTTAAACCGTATCTTCTAAAGTGCCTCCTGTGCCCTCCAAGCCCACTGACTGGCCTCTATTTTTTTTTAGTTTATTTTAAAGAATGCAAAAGAAAAGCTAACGACGCACGCACAGAGGAAGAGAGAGACAGAGACAGAAAGAGAGAGACAGAGAGCAGAGCCTGACATCAATACATCGCAGTCCTTGCCTGGTTAGCACGGTAGAGTCTTGCAAAATGTCTCCTGTCTATCCAGCTCTCAGCTGTCTGCTGCAGAAGGGAAGGTAGCCGCACAGTTGTTTTGCCTCCCGTGCATCCCCTCACCACAATTCCTCGCCAGGTTTCCTTTGTCTGGGTGAAGAGCAAACCCCCAGGAAGCCCCCAACTGCAAAACAAATACACCTTTCTGCTTTCTTTTTCTTTCTTCTTTTTGGGTTGTTTTTTTTAATCCCCTTCCGAAAAAACCTCGTGTCAGTCGGTTTCTTACCCGAAGAGAGAACAGAAAAGAGGAGGAAAAAGGCTTGGGTTTTTTGGAGCATGAATAAACCTTGCATTTCCATGAGTTATTCATGAATAATTCATGAAAATGCATGATTAATTCAGGTTCATGAATTATTCAGGAATAATTCGCGAACATTCCTGGTTAATTCATGCTTGTGCAGCGAGTGAGTCACGCTCTAGGGCTTGGTGAATTCTTCTTTTCTTTCTCCCCCAGACAGATGAAGACAAGAGGCTTGCAAGGGCCCCGCGCTGTACACCTCCCCTGTTTCGGCACAGTATAATAACCCATTCTTGGGGCCCTTCACAAACCAGAAAGGGAGAGCGAGCGGCGGGGCGCCTGAAGCCTGCAGGCTACGGAGGAACAGAACGAACTTGGAGACAAAAGGAAAAACTTGGCAGCAACCAGCACCCTTTCAAAGCACCTTTGGAAAAACACCACCCCAACCACATTGTGCATTTCCCCCTTCTTCCTCCCTCCACAGCCAGCCCTGGATAAGATATCTCTCATCTGTGTCCTGTCGCCTGCCATGTATTGAAACCGAGAAGGTGCTCAGGCCCAGCCGGAGGAAGCCAAGAATGACGTTTCCCCATCTGCCCCTACGTAGCCTTGCAAAGCACCTTGACTTCTTTGCATAGACCCTGAAAGTCCAGCAGTTTGCAACTGGTCTAATTGAGTAATTAAATTATTCTTGGTGGCAGTCAACCATGGGGCTCACCTCCTGGGCTTAGCTCGCTGGCTAGATGCGATCCTGCTGTATGGATTTGCTGCTGGGGTACTGCCATCCCAATACCCCGTGCATCTGTGCAGAAAGCTTTTCATAGCCACTTGCTTTGCTATGAACAGGCAAGTTCTCCTGCACTAGCCAGTGAAAACGACCCCTTTTCTGCAGTCAGACACTTATGACTCTATGGTGGCAATTGGGATCTGGACTCCATCCCAGTTGCCCCATTGGGTACCTCACCAGTGACGACTACAAATAACAGTTTCCTTTGAATAGTCCCATTAAAAGCATCAGTACAAGGTGTCCCTACCACCTTTTGTACCTGTGAGATGGGTATAATCATTAGAAGTGACCTGAACCAGAATCATAATTGCACCTTGCTCTGGATCTGGGGTTCTCAGGTCTGCCATTCTCCCGCCCTGGAGCCCAGGGTCTGGGTCAGATCAAGAACTAGATCTTGTTCTGGAGCTGCCAAGTATGTGCAGACATTCATAGCATTTCTTGAAAGGACCAAGATGGTCACGAGCCCCTGCAATCAGCCAAACTCACAGGATTTCCTCCACTTGCGACTGAGATCCTGGGGATGTTTTGGGTTTGTTTCTCCGGGAAGGGAGTTGAGAACAGTTGCAAGATTTGTGCCAGAGGGATGGGCAATTGTCAGTGAAAACCCCTTTTGAAAGCAACCCTTATCAAAATGATGCAGTTTAGGTGGGTGGGGGGACACTGCCGAATAACCCAAGGCCTCAGGGGGGGTCTTGGCAGTAACTCCAGACCTCACGAACATGACATCTCCCTTCCCCAAAGGCATTAACATCATCATCCATTTCTCCCATCAGCATCTCAGAATCAGGTATCTGGGAGGGGATCAGAAAACATGGCACAAATTCCCTTATAGGTAGCTAAGTTAAAGCTTATTGCTGTGCTCAGTGTGTCCCCAGGACACACACACTGAGTGTGATCTGCAGGGACACAAGGCATTGAAATGTATACTTTACTCAGCCTGGATAGAGGGTGTCATGGGAGCGTGTAACAGTTTGCAGGCGCACGTTTTGGGTCACCAAATCCAGGCCGGTGCTTGTGCAAACAACTGGCAGCAGTGGGATGGAGTGAGCCTTGTAAATACTGCACCCAGGAGCAGGTACTCGGTTACCCAGGGAGTATCATCCCTCCAGCCCCCAGGGTGAGCAGTGGCTCCTTTTGATTGCACAAGCGATCCTTGGCAAACTGCATTGCTTGGGGAAAAGGAGATGGAGCGACCCTGGTATCTCCTCAGCATAAGTGTCTGCCTGCCTTTCATGCTCCCAGTGCCCCTGCCATGGGCTAAGCATGTGTATTCGTGACAGTGTCTGCACACGAATAATTGGCAGCTGAGTGTCCGCGGCTGTGGCTTGCTTGTGAATCATTCGTGCAGGTTCCCACTTCATTTGCACATGCCGCAGCAGTCCTGGGTACCTTTTGCGGTCTCAAAGCAACAGGACAAGCCTCCTCCTCATGTTGGCATGTTCACAACAGAAGCAGATGCACAGAGGATGCAAACACAGTCCAAGGGAGTGCTGGCTGACACGGCTTCTTGAGCGTGGTGAAACAGCACAATCCCCCGCTTCAGCAGGGCTGGCTGGGAGAAGTTTCTCTTGAAGAACAGCAGCTAGAAAACTGATCTGTCCTGCAGCTTTCTTCTTCAGTGAATAGGGTTGCACCATCTTCATCGATGGAAATCTCTAAGGGCAAGTTAGACACACTTGGCTGGGATAAGTTAGCCTGGGATGCTCCTGCTTTGAGCAAGGGGTTGGACTTGTTGTGACCTCCTGATGCCCCGTCCAGCTCTGGATTTCTGTGATTCTCTAGAAACGTGTCTTCTGGTTCTTATTATTCCTGAATAATTCATGAACCTGAATTAATCGTGCATTTTCATGAATTATTCATGAATAGCTCATGGAAATGAATGGAAACCCACCAGTAGTTCAAGAGGGCCTTCATCCTGGCTGGGGACTTGGACCCCTCAAACTCTGCTACAAAGAGGACACCTTCATAGCAGCTGCAACTTATACCTATGGGTTTGTAGTTCTGAAAAAACTGGGTTTTGTACCTATTTGGGTCTATGACCATGCATTCAAATACAGGGCAGAGGCTAAATAGTACTTGAGGGGGCATTTTAATTCAGCAAGTGAGAGACATCCAGGAGAAGCATTGCATTGGTGCCAAGAAGAGGAGAAGCAAAATCCTAGCAATAGCTTGGTCAGCAGCTAAGTAGTGCAGGGTGTTATTGCAATGTGTGTTCACTTTAACAGGCTCAAGTTCAAGCCCTGGCAGAGTGCAGCACAGGTAAAGATGTATATATTGGACTTGCCTTAAATCCCCATTGATCAGCATCAAACACCCAGCAGTCTCAGCGCTGGAGAAGAAGGGGAGGGCAAGGGTCAATATTAGGTGCTTTAACAGAACTGTGTGAACAATCGCTGCTCTCCCCTCCCTTTTATAAGGCCTAAATTGCCTTTGTCACCATAATAAAAGAGAAGCAGCAGCAGCTCGCTCATAACTTGGCAAAGATCAGTGCCCTATGCTCGAAGCCCACGGCAGGACTCCCGAAAGAAACGGCCTCGTGAAACACCAGCATCCCAGCATTGGCCGATCCACAGCTTTTCATTGCTATCACTGACACCTGCCTCTAGAAATGGGGCTAGGAAATGAATCTTTCCAAGCAGCTTGCATTAAAGAGGCCTCACCAGAGGCATGTGCAATCTTCCAGTTATCTGCCTCTGCACCTATGTCCTTGCACTTGAGAAAGCAGCAGAGCCAGATGCTTCAGGTTTCTCTCAATCAAGGCTGTTTGGCAAGCTATGACCCAAGATATGTCACTTATTCTTAGCCTTGAAGTCTCCTGACCTAGGGCATTGCTGTAATAAATCCTTCACAGATGTCAACCTATGAATAAAACATGCTACGGAGCAAAGAGAGAGACTCCTCCAACATTTCTTCTTTCATGCAGACCTACAAAAGGTGGTGCTAAA